GCTTAACTTAAAGCAGGGGTAATCTCTGGGGGGAAAATAATCTGTTTCTCTGATCACTGGTAACACCATATTCCAGTTCAATCAAGCTGGAAATCTCAGCTTTTTTTTTTTTTAGAAAAATGGTGTACAGTGGTTAACTGCAGAGATTATGGAGCTTGGCTGACTGGACTTAAGTATGAGCTCTGCCATTTACTAGTTATTTGACCTGGGACAATCTACTTTGCTAAAGGCTGCCTCAGTTTTCTCTTGTGCAAATGAGGATAACATTAGTGTCTACCTCTGAGAATTCTTTGAAGGTTAAATTAAATAATAAATATAAACCATTTAAAACAGAGCCTAGTGCATAGTAAATGCTACTCAAGTATTTATTATTATTATTATTATTATTCCTTGACCCTATTATTTTTCAAAATCTCACCTGCATCTGTTCTTTCCTCTCTATTCCTACTGCTGTGACTTCATGTCTTACCCATCCATCCATTCTTATATTGCTGGTTTTTTCTAAAATTGTTCTTCTTGTCTATAAGTCTTTCTGCTGAAATCTGTCTGTTATAATACTCTGGCTATTGTTTAACAGGAAAGGAGTAAAGGGGAGACTAGATAATATAGGCATCCCATTTGTACAGCTTTGCCAGCAAGCTGTAGAGAACACTCCAGGTCTGTTCCCTGATGATCATTGGGGGAAGGGACTGGACAAAGGCAGTTTAGATGCATGTCCAGTAAGGTATGGATCTATGCTACTAAGGTATGGTCTATGCTGGGAAAGCATTTACCTGTCAGTCACACATGAGAACAAATAAGTAGCCAGAATAAGCATGGATGCTGCGAGCACTTGAAATTTGAGGTACAGAATCCCCTAAACAAAGAAAGCTTCTCTGTATTCCTCTCTTTCTTAGCCTTTGGCTCTCTGGCTCTCTTGGGACTCCTGTTGCAGGGAGAGCATTGCCCTGCATTTGCCATGTGGTCCACAGCCAGGTAGACTCCATACAATGCCTGATCTGGACCTGGCTACAACATGGAGAGAAAACCTTGAATACTGGCCCTGCTTCTAGCTCTGCTGAATCCACAGATGCCCCTTTTCCAGAACTGGACTAAGAAACGTGGGACTTTACAACCCCAGTAATATAACTCCACACACACAAAAAAATTCATTCTCCCATGCAAGTTTTAGAAAATTCATTTTCTGAAGATATTGCAAAAACCCCACTCCCATGAGTGCCGGGGATATCTGGCCCACTGATTTCTCCAGCAGTAAATCCATCATGAAGATAACTCCCAACTAGTAGTCAAATAAGAAACTTTTTGTTCACATAATTGGTCTTTGCAAAATACTCTGTTTGTTTTTTTATTGGCTACCAATTAAATTTAAATTCAAATTTCTTACTCTATCAGATTTCCTACAACCTAGCTTCAGCCTTATTTTCCAGTGTTATCTGGTCTTAGTCCAATGCAAGGAACTTATTTTGTTGCCAAACTAAATACTTTACCACTCATTGAATGTGACGTATGCCTCTTTACCTCTAAACTTGGGAATGCCATTTCCTGGACTTCTACCTGCATCAAGATCAAGCACAAATGCAACCTCCATGATGAAATCTTGAACCAAAGCAGTTCAGAATTATATCTCCTTTCTTAAATCCCCTCTAATGCTTTATTTTTCATAAATATAACCTTTTCAAATGATTTGAAGTAGCTTTGTTAATTTGATTACTTTAGACTACTCTCATGATACCATAACCTAATATATCCTTTACTTTATGTATGCATGGGCATACTTTCCTCAAATTGAAGACAGAATTTATTTTCATGAGAGTCATGTTTGTCTTTCTTTCCCACTCACTCTATTACTTCCTGGCTAAGTGCCTCTCGTAGTACAGGAGCATGCGGTAAATATTAATTGAATTAAATTAAATAGAATTACTAAATGTAATGACTAGCTTTGTCTTTCACAGACCAAATCTTAAAAGGGAAAATAAAAGCATTCTATAAGTCTTTCAGTATTAAAACAAAGAGTAGTGTGAGAATACAAAAGGCTTGATCCCTTCATTTTTAGAGCAATAATATTTTATGGTAAGTTTGAAAATAACCCTCAGGTAAAACGTTGCTGATGGTTTATTTCAAGCAGTGGTGTGTAAAGAGACTGGGATCAGTGGATGACTAAAATGAAAGATGAAGATCACCAAAGACTTAAGAAGGGATGGCCAAAGTGTTTTCAAGGATGTCCCAGAAAGCTGATGCACCTGAAGACCGTAAATAGGGAGAAGAATGAGTAAGTCAGGGTGAACTCTACATTCCAAACTTCTTTGCATTGTATAAAGTGGCTGAAGGACTGCAAGAAAAAGGTGTGGTCAGTCACTTTAAATTCTGAAAAGTAAGACTAATAAAAGCACAAGCTATGGTCTCTGACCTTGGGGAAGGAGCTTTTTTACTTTTTTAATGCAATTAACTCAAACAGCATTGTTCAAGGCAACTCGGCAATTAGTTTGGATTGCTGAGTGGTCCCATCAACACTTACTATAAGGCAATTGTCATTTGTTTTAGTTGAAAATAAATCATCAACTATTTATTTACTAAAGAATTCTTAAGTATGATCTGAGGTTTGGGAGCTGTGTTTTCATGCAAATAAAAGAAAATCGGATCAGCCACAGAATTTCAGTGCTTAACAGCCAGGTTAAGAGGATGAGAAAAGAAGCTTTAGAATCAAGCTTATTTCCATGAATGATAGACTTAAATTTTCTGTGCCACATCTTGTCCTATGAAAAATGGAGATAATAACAAATCTACTTTATGATATTATTGCTTAGAGTAACTGAAATGTTGAATGTAAAAAGCCTGTTATCATTGCATTGTTTTCTATACATTGTATTTATAATTTTCCCCTGTTTCCTTCAAACAATTATTTCAGACTCCCTAAGCAGCTCACAATTGTCCCTCTTTTCTCTAAAAGGCATTTGAACACTTTCAACCTAGGTATATAGTCAACACACAATAGGATATATACGTATGCTTATTTTATACACTGTTTACAGGGTGGGGCACAAGTAGGTTTACAGTGGTGAGTATTCAAAACACAGAATTTATTCTTCTACTATTATTTATTAATTACTGCATTATTTCCATATGAACAACTGTAAATCTACTTTTGCCTCACCCTGTATATACCTGTTTGACAGAACGATTTGTTTTGTCACTAATAGTTGAAAGAAGTAAAGGCGTCCGCTAAAAAGTGCCTTGCTCTGTTTATAAAGAAGGCTGAAGTTTAGTTTCCTTTTAAGCATGTCAATCAGCAGAGTTCACACTGAACATCTTTGTTGAGTACTTTACATGATATGATTATGAAGCCATGGTGCTTATTAACAAACATACTTGAATTAAAATATCTAAATAAATAAATTCCAATTTAATAACCACTAATACTTATTGGGCATTTACTCCATCCCTGGAACTGTGCTATACTCTACATGCACTATCTCACTTCACAAATGAGGCAGTTCCTAATCTTACATCCAATTTTTTTTTTAAATTAAGAAATTTATTCAAAGTCATGAAGCTAGTAAGTAATAACCCAGGATTTAAAGTCAGATGCCCTGGCCCAGCCGGTGTGACTCAGTGATAGCATCGACCCATGCACCAAGAGGTCATGGGTTCGATTCCCGGTCAGGGCACATGTCCTGGTTGTGGGCCCGATCCCCAGTGGGGGACATGCAGGAGGCGGCCAATCGATGTTCTCTCTCATCGATATTTCTGTCTCTCTCTTCCTCTCCCTTCTTCTCTCTCTAAAAATCAATAAAGAAAAAAAATGTTTTTTCAATAAATAAATTAATTAAGTCAGGTGCCCTGAATTCAGAGTCTGAATTCTTAACCCACTACACTGTGCTTCCTCTGTGTGTGTGTGTTAGTTGTAATTGGAGATAATGTATAAACATCAATGCTGTCATCACTGATTCTACCTTTTTTGGAAATTCAGTTTCAGAATTATCTTCCAGATCATCCCACTTCATCAAACAAGAAATCTGAGCATGTGGAGGCCAGGAATCAATGATTTTATGGCCCCGTCCAGCTCTAAAATAATATGGTACCATTTAGTTGTGTACTTGTATTTAATGAATGAAAGAAGACTCTTGGAGAACTTCAAAACTCTAATTCTAAACACTTTTTGCAAAAGAATAATTTAGATGATTTACAATCTTTAAGAAAGTTACATTTCATTTATTTCCTACTAGTTCAAAGCAGTTCAAGTAAGGAGTAGAAACCATCCCTTGAAATGAAAGCAATGACATGATAGACAAATTGAAAAAAAAAGAAAAAGCCTGCAACATTTTCAGGATAATACTTAAGTAAAACAAAAACCCAAAGAAGTAATCAGAATATGTTTGAGCTCTTAAAAATATTCAGGCTCTTAAATAAAAGTCGTTTAATTTTTTTTCTGTTATTGTTGGGAGTAATTTTTTTTGAAAAGCTGTGTTAAAGCCCAGATTCATCACTTTAAATAGATATTGAGCAAGGTATTAAAACTTCTTGATATTCAGTTTTCTTATTTGAAAAATAGAAATAAAAATAATAAACTTAAAATATTTGGGTAAGAATGAAAGGCACAAGATATAAATTACTGATATGGAGCAAATCTTAATTTTTAATGCAATACGCCTTTTTAAAACTTCCTTATCAACATTGGCTAAAATAACACTAATGTTATTTTCTTCACTCTTCTCAAGTTACAACTCAGAGGAAAACAATCTTAAATAATATGTGAGAAATATTATTGTGTGAGTTATGTACATAGAACAATAGTAAAATCAGTCATTAGAAATCATGAAATTATACAACTGAATTCCGACTAGCAAACAGCTCATCAAATTTTTATCTTTTATTACACAGTTTTCCTCAATATTCACAAATATCAAGAACTGTAAATAGAAATGTGTTCTTTTATGACAGTCTGCCAAATTCATTCCACATGACTGCAATCGAGTGGAAAAATAAAAACACATATCACTTACTATATGTGGTGCTTGGCAATATCAAAATGATTTGCAAACATTCGTCCTCAAAATACTCCTACAAAATGCATCTGTGAAAAGAAAAAAAAATCCAAAAGAGTAAGCAATTTGCCAAGGTCACAGAAATACTAATCAAGACCAAAATACACTGACACACTACATACTTATCGTATTGAAATAAGATTTTGCAAAATATAGATTATACATCTTGCAAAATATAATGGGCTAAAGAACAGCAATAGTCCTAACTATTCCAAACATCAGCCAAGAAAGACACTCTTAAGTCAGAGGTAAGAATCTGCACATTGGCTTCAGAATTATATACAAGGTACAGTGTCCCCAGAACAAGGCAGAAAAAAATAAAGTAATTAAAAAACATGAGATGTTTGTAGGTAAATTTAATTGGAGATTTGAGGTGGTTATTAAAATAATTGAAGTGTTTCAAATGCACTTATGTCTGACATATGAGGATCTCTGATGTAGAAGAGAATTTTGCTTGATTTATCCAGAGAATTGCACCAATTCACTTTATAATTTCATGTCAATTTTAATTGAAGACCATGCACTGAAAAAAAATGCAGAATGCCACTTGCATGCCTCCCAGAAATACACAAGCATACCTTTTCTTTTTTTAGAAAGTCACTCTCATTATCAGGGAAAAGTTATTTAATCAGATTTTCTTAATCTGTTTATTTTAAAGGAAGGATGTTGGGAAGAGCACATTAATTTCAAAGCTCAATATATTTCAACCTAAACAGGATTTTATGTTTTGGGGTATACTGTTTTACAAAAGAACTGTTTAAAAGGGCCCTGACCGGTTTGGTTCAGCAGTTAGAGCATCAGCCTGAGGTCCAGAGAGACCTGGGTTCGGTCCCCACTAAGGGCGCGTACCTCAGTTGCAGTTTGTCCCTGGCCCTGGTTGGGTCATGTGGGTGGCAATCACTCGATGTGTCCCTTTCATGTCGATGTTTTTCTCTCTCTTTCTCCCTCCCACTCTATCTGAACAAAAAATGAAAAAAAATGTCCTCGGGTGAGGATTAAAAAAAGAAAAGAAATAAAATAAGGCACAACCTAACAATAATTAAAAGTACCCTTTAAAGTACAAAGTGTTGTTTCAGATAGATCAAACACACTGTGGACAGTACAAATAAAATCTCCCTATGTACCATGCATCTTTAGAGTAACATTAGTCCTCAGCAACCAACAGAATTTCTGCCCAGAGAGATTTGGTTATTTACAGTACCAAGCAGAAATACCAGTTTATTAATTCAGGAGGTGTGCTTTTGTGTCCATCAAAACCAGGTATAATCAAATCAACAGTTCAACAAACAGAACAAGCATTAAGTTGAATATCTAATTTATCTTCCTGGAGTATGTAAAAAACACAGGATGGCAAAGAGCTCTACCTGGCATAGGAATGAATGATTTTACTAATGGTCAACTCAGAGCCTCTCAAATAAGAGAAAACTATAGGTATAGTTAGCAAGTTTATATTTAAATGTCAAAAGTAAATCAAGATATTTGTAAAAAAAAAAAACTATGTATTTTTTAATTTTATTTTTCTAGGTTTAAAGCTTAAAAATGCAAATTATTTTGAATTTTTAAATTAACTTTTAGGGAGAGAGGAAAGAAGAGAGAGAGATAGAAATATCCATGAGAGAAAACGTTGACTGGCCGCCTCCTGCATGCCCCCCACTGGGGATCTGGCTCAAAACCTGGGCCTGTGCCCTGACAGGGAATCGAACCGGCAACCTCTTGGTGCATGGGTCGATGCTCAACCACTGAGCCACACAAGCCAAGCAAAAAAAAATGCAAATTCTTATTTATATATAATTCCTTTTATTTTTTAAATTTGGGTAATTCTCATCTGAGAATATTTTTCAATTGATTTTTAGATAGAATGGAAGGGAGGGAGGGAGGGAGGGAGGGAGAGAAACATCAGAGGCTCCAACTGCTGAGCCAAACTGGCCAGGGCCATAAGTAATTTCAATAGAATTATAAAGTTGTAACAATTATGTGCATATGTTTCTTTATACTTTAGATATAGTAGTTCTCAACCTGTGGGTCCTTCGACCCCCAAAGAGGGTCACCTAAGACATAACAGTAGCAAAATTACAGTTATGAAGCAGCAACAAAAATAATTTTATGGTTGGGGGTAACCACAACATGAGGAACTGTATTAAAGGGTGGTGGCACTAGGAAAGTTGAGAATCACTGTCGGAATATTAATCCTTGTAGGCAAGAGAACTAAAGTTAACACTAATCAGGTGACTTCCCCAATCTGACACAACAAATAAGAGGTAATCCTGGGCTCAAAACCAGTTTTTCTGACCCAATTTCTCACTACAACCCATTAGTCTTGCCATTGTATCCAGAGCAGAAGTTTGCAAACTGGAGTGTAATAACCAAATCTGGCATGTGTGATCCTAGATGCACTGTGTGTTACATAATAATATTTTCCTAATAATGAATTTCTTATTTTGCATAATTGTACTGCAGTTATGTAGGACAATATCCTTATTCTTAGAAAATACACACGAGTACTTCAACTCAAGAAGCATGATTTTTGCACCTTATTCTAAAATAATTCAGAGAAAAAAGTTTTATATATAATATATATGCATATATGTATATGCATATGTCCGTGGGTTAGGCAAAAGTAGGTTTACAGTTGTGAGTAAACGAAACAGAGTTTATCATTTTATTATTTATTATTATATTATTTATTTATTTGTATTATAGCTATAAATTTACTTTTGCCCACCTCTGTATATATACAGTTATGTAATTATACATACATACATATATGGAGAGAGAGAGAGAAAGACAAGTAGTAATAAAACAAATGAAGGAAAATATAAACAACAAATGAATCTGAACATAGAGTATTCATGGTTATTAACTACAATAATTGCAAACTTTCTGTATGCTTGAAACTATATCCAAATTTAAAATTAGAGAATAAAGGTAGAAATAAATGCTTTCTTTTCATTGAGATATTATGGTATCACAAGAAAATTCTCAAACATAAATCAATGAAAGGTTTTTAAATAAAAAAATTTTAAAATAAATCATAATCATTGCCCAATATTTTTGGACAACTAGTATGACAAGATATTCAGAATTATATATATATATATATATATATATATCTCCTGTATTTTATATATTATATATTTATATATAACATATACCTATACATTGAAAATGTATATATTTAAATTAAAGATATATATTTATAACTTATATACGTACATTAAATATATAAAATGCAAGGGAATAAAAATAAATGTGAAATCTAGTTTCAGGTTTGAAATTTTTTTTCTCTTTATTGATTTTTTTTAGAGAGAGAGGAAGGGAGAGGGAGAGAGAGATAGACACATCAATGAGGGAGAACAAAGACCGGCTGCCTCCTGCATGTCCCCACTGAGAATTTGGCCCACAACCAGGCATGTGCCCTGACTGGGAATTGTATCGGGACTTCTTAGTGCATGGGTCAATGCTCAACCACTGAGCCATACTGGCCACGCTAGTTTTGGGTTTTTAAATAAACCACAAACAATAATATTCAGCAAATTTAGCAATGCAAAGTTAAATAATCAAATGATATTCAAATGAAATTAAATTAGCCAGCGAGAAAAAATAAACAAATAAAGAGAGTCATTCTTTAAAGATTGTCAGTGTAACCCTGGCCAGTTTTGCTCAGCAGTGGTCGGAGCATCGGCCTGTGGACCAGAGAGAGAGTCCCAGGTTCAGCCCCTGCTAGGGGCATGAACCAAAAAAAAAAAAAAAAAGATTGTCAGTGTATTCTTCTTTATATAATTGTTTTACTTAATAAAAATTACCAAGGTTTTGTTTTTTTTTAATTCAGAAAAATAAAAACATTAAAAAATTAAATCATCTTTAATTTCTAAAATAATTCTGTGTTTATTTTCAGACTATTATTTAAAGTTATACTATATAAATTATTTTATAATTAGATCCTCTTTTTACTTAATTGTGAATTTATTTTTGTGGAAATATCATGTTTATCATTACAATGCAAGGTCATTTCATTGACTGATAATCACATACATGTTATCATTTATTTTGAATTTTTTCAAATAAGTTATCAAATATCTGTTACTAATATCTGTTACACTGCAAAGGTCCTTTTGTATATTTCTTCTGCCTTAGCATGATTGTTCCATTAGGACAAGGATCTTCAACCTTTTTAATCTCGTGGTACACATAAACTAATTATGCAAATTCTGTGGCACACCAAAAAAAATTTTGTTTTGCTAACCTGTCAAAAACATGGGTATAATTTCTATTCATTCACACTGGATGACAATTGTTGTGTTGGCTGTTGTCATTTTCTATTTGGCAATCTAAGGGAAAAGAGGTTAGAGCCCCTGACTAAATTGTCAGGTATTGCACATTTAAAAAATTCTTGTGAGCCCTGGCCGATTTGGCTCAGCAGTTAGAGCATCAGCCCACAGACTGGAGAGTCCCAGGTTTGGTTCCTGCTAAGGGCAATACATTGGTTGCAGTTTGTCCCAGGCCCCGGTAGGGGTCGTGTGGGTGGCAACCACTCTATGTGTCTTTCTCCTATCCATGTTTCTCTCTCTCTCTTCCTCCCTCCCTCCTGCTCTGTCTGAAGATAAATGTAAAAATGTCCTCGGGTGAGGATAAAAAAAGAAAATTCTTGTGGCACATGTGTTGAAATTGTTCTTAGGGTAAAATTCCCAGAAGGGGAATTGCTGGATTAAATAGCATAAGGCTATTAAGACATGTAAACTATATTTTATTGGTACAGATGTATGCAATTTCATATTTCAACAATCCCACAATCAGGTCATATTTTACAATCACTGCAGCCAATAGAAGTCATGACATACATAGTATTTGGTGCCTATCTACACCCCAAATTGGTCCTGGCTCTTCATATTGTCATGTCTTAAATTGAGTTTTATGCACTCTTAGCAAGACACATGTTGAGTTTAATTACCTCTTTAAATGTCTTCAAAGAGATCACCCAACAATTAGTCACTGAAATTTAAAAAAAAAAAAAAAAAAGGTTTATATGAAA